TGAAACCAAGACCAAATCACCAAATTCATTTTGTCGGACACTTCGAGCAAGGAAGTACATTATCTGCCATAACATAAAGCAATACGTTTCTTACATTTTGTAAAATCAAAAACAGAAGCATAATGAAACAAAATACTAACATAGTATAATTTTCTCACTGTAAATCCAGTCAATAAAAAGCAGTACAGAGTAAAACAAAAAGAACGGTTTAAAATACTTATAATACATATTTTTTGGAACCCAGGGCCTTTGTCTCAGCGCGTGGCGGATTCCCATTGGTTAAAACATTCAACAGTATTCGCTCGGGGGTCGTTGGATTCCACTGAGTTTGGTTTTGTCCATGATGTCATCGAGTCTTGTCCCATATTTCACTCATGATGAAATTTGTAACGCAAAAAAAAAAAAAATGAAAAAAGACAGAGAGAGACAGAAGCAGGAATGACCCTACAAGCTGAACAAACAACCTCTGGCCTCTGAAGCACGGGGAGAGCATGCAAATACGAAAGCTACAGTTTAAACTCGAATAATTTCCCTGTGTGGGCTCTAGGGTTCTCAAACTGTGGGACAAAGACACTGGTTTAATATAATAATAATAATGCACTGGTTTTAGTGTGGGTGAATTGTCTTGCCTAAGGACACAAGGCACCGGCTGTTCCCAGAGGTCCCCCATCACAGTACTAACCAGGCCCTGCCCTGCTTAGCTTCAGAGGCCTGATGGGATCTGGCTTTCTGGCTCATGAGTCTCTAGTGGTGATGGTATTATTGTTAATTCATAATTAGATACAGTATTTGCCATTATCAAAGTGTTAAAACAGTTTTTTTAGACTGAATCTCTCTCCGACAGCCAATCAGCTCGCAGCCGAAAGCCTCAAATAGTGACTAACATGGCTGCAAGTTAGCTACAAGTTGCAATGGTAAACCTGTGGTGCACACCGGGGTAGTCTCGTACAGTTTTTCCAATGTGGTTTTACTGCAAATGGCAATATTGGCTTCTTTCTGCAGTAAAACAATACAAAAAAGTTAGCATATGGGCTACTAATAACGGCTACAACAGCTAGCATGGTGGCTACATAGAACTTTTTCAAACTTCATAATAGTGGGAAAGAGCCAGACAGGTTCTATCATGTGATTGGATTTAAACTCCTCGCAACTTCTCTGGAAAAAAAAACAAACAAAAACAACAACGTGGACTCCCTCCTCTCCTTCACTTTCTAATCTCTCACTATTCTACGTAACTATTCCTTCAAATCTGTCGCCAAACTTTGTTATTTTCCAACAAAGTCCCCTCTGGTCTCTGCACTGTTCACGGCATCCTTCTATATCACTAACGCTCACAAACACTGCAAGGAATTATAAAAACAAGATGAAAAAAGTGAAGTTTCTGAATGAGTTATTGTATGTAGCCAACTAACATCCATCTATCCAGCAGACTGAGCCCAACACTTCACTCTCCATACAGGTGGAGGAACAGCGGCTCTACTCCGAGCTCCTCCTCCTCACCCTGTACTGTATTTCTAAGGGAGCTCCCATTGTATCTGACTGTGAATATGAACTCGTTTCATCGTGTTAATATTTCTTTGCAGTTTCGCTAAATCGCTCTCTCTCTCTCTCTGATCTCCCTCTCTCTCTTCGGTCTCTCTCCAGTCTCTTTCTCTCTCTCTGGTCTCTCTCTTGTCTCGCTCTCTCCAGTCTCTTTCTCTCTCTCTGGTCTCTCTCTTGTCTCGCTCTCTCCAGTCTCTCTCTTTATGGTCTCTCTCCAGTCTCCCTCTCTCTATTTAGTCTCTCTCTCTCTCTCTGGTCTATCTCTCTCTCTGTGGTCTTTTTCTCTCTCTGACCTATCTCTCTCTCGCTCCCTGGTCTCTCTCTTTCTAGTCTCGCTCTCTCAGGTATCTTTCTCTCTCTCCAACCTCTCTCTCTCTTTCACTCACTCTGGTCTCTTTCCCTCTCTCTGGTCTATTTCTCTGTCTCCTACCTCTCTCTCTCTCACTGGTCTCTCTCTCTGTGGTCTCTCTGGTCTCTCTCTCTCCAACATTACAGCTGCTCGGAGCCACCTGCATTCTGGTTCTGGCGATAAAATCTTAAATAACTCGGTCTTATTCGTCTCAGGAATTTGCACACATTCAAAAGAAGCCCACCTCGCATAACTTTAGCCACCGCTCACGTTAGCACGGCCGTCACTTCAACACAAGAGCTTTCAACTTTTCCTTTAGCCTCGTCTTGTAATTATATATTATTAAACGTAAAGCTGGGGAACCTATTATTTTTTTCTAATTAATAATTAATTTTGTTTGTCCCACAGAAACCGTCAAAGGTGTGAACAAAATGCCCACAACATTACAGTCTTTTCTCATTACAAATGTTTTTTCCTCATTTGGTAGAAAGAGCCCTGTGAGTCGCTAGTTGACTCTTTGGGCTGAAAGCTGATTGGCTGAGAGTTTGTCACCTTTTTGTCTGAAGATAAAAAACATTTGAAAACTAGTGTTGGAACCGTTTTGAGAGCGAGGAACTAGATAATACATATATCATACACACAAGTTAGCTTTAATGTAGCTAGCTTTGATGCTACTTTAAACACATGCTAACAAGCTAACCAGAGTCCACCCTTTGGTCAGTCCACACGCCTCAATAAAACAGTCAATAAATAAGACCTGGCATTTCTTTGGCACAGAATAAGTCTCTTTAACCTTTGTGTTATCGGTGATTCCTTGAAAACGATCAAGGTTAAACTCCAGGCACATTCCGGGACTGTGAGAGTGCGTCTACGCGGCTAAAGCACGATAACAGTAGGACTCCCAGAACCGTCATTTTGACTGCTCCCATTCAAACCAATGGAATTCTTAAAAAAAATAAAAAAATGTTTAAATCCTGCAGATTTATCAAAAGTAGGTGATTTATAAGGTTTTTTAATCTTTACTCACTACAACTAAGAGATAAAACTGGTGAATAGAACTGAAATACAACTGTTTATTGAAAGGCTAATGCTAACTGCTGATAGTAAACGGTGTGTTACTATGGTAACTAGTACTGGTCCGACTCTGGTGGAAAACAAGAAGAACCAGTCCAGGACAGACCAAATCTAGTACAAGACTAGTCCAAGACCAGTCCAAGACCAGTTCAAGGCCAGTCCAAGACCAGTCCAAGTTACAAAGCAACCAAAAATGGTTATATTTTAGGTCAAACTGATTCAAATACAGACAAATAACTAAACTACTACAACTACATAGAAACAGAAAATAGTCGCAATTGTATGAAGAACAAAGAGGCACGTATGCTGAGTCTGAAAGCCGTCAAAATGACTGTTCCGGGAGTTCTGGTATCAACATGACAGAGCTGTGTCTGCTGATGAAGAAACCTGATGAAGACCATGAACGCTCCGGTACTGGACTGGACTGACAGAACATAGACCCGTGACTTTTAAAGCTATCGTTAGCCGCGCGCTAAAGGCCCTGGGTTAGCTTCCACATTCATAGAACATCAAAATCAACAATACTGCCGGCGTTTTGGCGTTAGCGTGGAAATGACATACATAATTCCATTCGTATTGATAAAAAGGCACTTCCTATATATCCCCTTAGTATGTTACATAGGACTACACTTTTATAATGATAATAATAACATCTGCAAGTTACATCTGCAGACTTATACATTGAGAATACATAGAGAAAAGTCGTTATATATGTCAATTCCAGCTTCCAGTAGCCATAAAGCCGGTTGCCCACCAGTTAAGCACTTAAAACAAATTAAAAGCTACAAGTTTTCATAATAAATAATCAGCAAAAGTCAGATATTTTTGGAACAAGACCCTGGTTTTTTTGTAGAAGTAAAGATCACAAAAGCGTTGTGTGTGTGTGTGTGTTTGTTTTTGTTAAGGTGCTTTTGTAAACTCAAGATTTCGGGGTGGCGCTCTACGGGCTGTTTAAGTCTGTGGATCTAAAACTCGTCTTCTTGCAGACAATGTAAACAACAGCAAAGTCTTTGGGCGAATCCAGGACGAGAACATAGACCCCATCTCTCTCTGTTCACAAGGTACGAACTGGACCTGGGCGGGTTCCAATGTGTGCTTCCATTTTGGTTCCAGTCCATGGATCAAAGAAGGACAATGCAACATTTATCAACATTTATTAAAGTTGGTCTCTGCCCCTTATGGACCAATGGCTTTAATTGCATTTCTTGATTTGATTCTCACATCTGTGTTGGAGAATCGACAGCTTTCTAAAGTCCTCTGAGGTAACTACTGTTGTGATTTAGGCCTATACACAAATAAATTGAACTGAATTGAATTTGAACCTCTGTATTTCTTATATTCGAGGAGTGGAAGACCATTCTAAAATCGTGAATCATGAAGAAATCACAAAATCCCAATGCGAAAACGTTTGTTTGTCCAAACTTAAGACCAGAATGCATTCTGACCACAGGAAATGCTAACGTTTTTACATGTCTGTCAACAGAATTCTACTAATGGTGACCAGTTTTTATTGGTTTGTTAGTAAAACTATGGATCCTATTGGAAGAAGAGACTGTTTTATTCAGGGAGACAGAAACAGACGATATAAAAACAGAATCTTTGCAAAATTGCTGAAGATTCCGTCTAAACTTGGTCGGCCCACACAGTAAAGACCTCCTTCTACTTAGTCTTGAGTCTGGTATTCTTGCATTGTTGATTATTTGCCTCGGCTACTCTGTCCATCTTACATCTTACAGGCCAAACACTTATGAGTACTTTGGGTTAACTCAATCTACATTTAATCTTGCCTTGTAAATAGGAAATATTGTGCTTATTGCTTTACTATACGACCTGAAACTGCACCTGTAGATTTCCATCATCAAACCTGACTTTAAAAGAGAAATTGTTGCATTGTTCCTCTTTGAATCCATCTTTAAAACTTCCCAAATTAGATGTATCCCAGTGACGCACTGGTCGTTAATGCCATTTACTAAGTTAACACATCATGCCCGTACTTCTACTCGTATATCTCTGCCACCCAGTCTTCACAATGTCTCTAAGTGAGGTTGTTGCTGATGTCCAGGGCTTGCTGATAAACCTGAGTCATATCCTCCAGGTCTCCCAGCAAGGAGAAGCTGCCGTTGTCCCTGGATGAGCCTTTGGTCTTGGCACTTCGGCTGATCTTGGGACCCTGTAGCGGCGGCGCGGCCTGGAAACCTTTGAAATTGGCGAGTTGGAGCAGATTCTCCGCCGACACGCACGCCCGGATGTTAGAATGGCAGTGAGGGGTTGACGAATGCCACTCCTTCCCGCCCATAGAGGTTGGAGACAGCGAGAGAACCGAGCTGTCCTCTCCGACGATACTAGAAGGCCGACTCTGACTCCGAGACAATCCTGCGTCAGTGGAAGTAGCTTGATCTCCCAGGCCTGCCGCAGCTGCCCCCGATGGTAATCCGCTGTTCGTCGAATACTTCCCGTTGCGCTTCAAGATCCCCTTCCGCCCCATGGCTCGTCTGGGTGGAGATGTGGCCATTACGGACATACTGGCGCCTCCGAGCAGCTCCGAGGACTCACTGCGCTCTGGGGATGAGTAGTACCCTGATTCCCGTTGTTGGTTATTCTTTAAAATGCCTTTTTTTGGCATTGAGGGCACCATTTTAGCCGGCGAGCCTCCTCCTAGCGTTGGTTCTTCGTCATCTTTATCCAGACTTGAACCGTCTTCCCCTCCTTCTGCTTGTTGCGGCAGAGAAGTCTGACTCAACTCAAAATCATCTGGATGTACACTTTGCTGCTCTTCCATCACCCTCGTCTTCAGGATTCCCTTTGGCCGTTTCAGACCTGGTTTATCTTCTGCTCCGTCCTGAGACTGCCCTGTTTCTACGTTTTCTTTCTTGGATTTCTTGGGGCGTTGGCGGACGGCGGAGGAGGCTTTGGGGGGAGAGGGCCTGGGTTCAGTGCGGTTTTGCCAGTCGATGAAGCGTGCGAGCATAGGGGAGCCTCCGTGGTCTCGCTGGGTGTCACAGTCGCAGACAGAGTTCTTCCAGCCCCAGTTCACCCACCAGTGGTTGGCGATGTCCTCCACTGTGGCCCTACGCTCAGGGTTCACCATCAGCATCCAGCGAATCAGCCCACGGGCGTCTGAGGAGAGAAGACAGGGCAGAATGTTCAAAATGTGTTTTACATTCATTTCAATGCGAATGTGTGGTCTGATCCACAGTCTCAGTCCTGGATCAACAGCCTGAGTCCTGGATTTTCACCCTCAATCCTGGATCTACAGCCTCAGTGGGGGGTGTGAGTTTGAAGGCAATACCCTAACATAGATAAAAAACCTAAATACTTCCTTGTTGTCTGGTGAGTACAGTTTAGGTCAGATCATAGGGACATGCATAATTTTCACACCTTTCACACCCAAGATGAAGAAAACATGGTACTAATATATTTCATGATGTTTTGTATAATATTGCTAGATTTACCTGATGACTGAGTGGGTTCCTTGTACTCTCCGTTGCTGATCTGGCGAATGAGGTTCTTGTGGTCTCCTCCGTCAAACGGCATCGTCCCGTAGACCAAAGTGTACAGCAGCACCCCCAGAGCCCAGCTGTCCACCTGCAGAGAGGGCAAAGGTCAAGACAAGAGTCCTATTTATCCAGCTTCACCTGTGCATTAGTCCTGGTTGGAGTGATGATCAGTGATGAGTAATCCACTGCTATTAACTGCTACAATCTGGTGCAGAGACCACATCACCCCTGTCCTCAAACAACTCCACTCGCTCCCTGTTCAAACCGCATAAAATTATAAGGTGCCTTAGATCTGCTGACGTCAATCTCCTCAATCCCATCAGAACAAAGTGCCAAGCCCTGAGGGAGCGAGCCTTCTGAGCCCTGAGAACCAAGTCTTCTGAGCCCTGAGAACCAAGTCTTCTGAACCCTGAGAACCAAGCCTTCTGAACCCTGAGAACCAAGTCTTCTGAACCCTGAGAACCAAGCCTTCTGAACCCTGAGAACCAAGCCTTCTGAACCCTGAGAACCAAGCATTCTAAACCCTGAGAACTGAGTCTTCTGAACCCTGAGAACAGAGTCTTCTGAACCCTGAGAACCAAGTCTTCTGAACCCTGAGAACCAAGCCTTCTGAACCCTGAGAACCAAGTCTTCTGAACCCTGAGAACCGAGCCTTCTGAACCCTGAGAACCAAGTCTTCTGAACCCTGAGAACCAAGCCTTCTGAACCCTGAGAACCAAGCCTTCTGAACCCTGAGAACCAAGCATTCTAAACCCTGAGAACGGAGTCTTCTGAACCCTGAGAACAGAGTCTTCTGAACCCTGAGAACCAAGTCTTCTGAACCCTGAGAACCAAGCCTTCTGAACCCTGAGAACCAAGTCTTCTGAACCCTGAGAACCGAGCCTTCTGAACCCTGAGGACCAAGGTTTCTGAAAGTTTAATTGACACTTTTGGTCGAAGACTGTGCCATGAAATACAAAACGCACAAGAATAAATGTAGAAAGAATTGTCATGGTGTTGATTTTATTTTTGTACTTTGGTTTTATTTTGACATCAGTTTGGTTTCAGTTGTACTTCCTGTCTTGTTCCCCTGTTTCTGTGTCTACTGTATATGTACCCTGTGCTTCTCTCCTCTTGCTGGTCCATTGTATTGTCTTTGCTTGTTCCTGTCTTTGTTCCTGGTCTCGTTTTTGGATTTTCTGATGTTTGGTTACCTTGGACTTTTGTTTTTTTCATAATTAAATCATTTATATTTTTTCATTCCTGCATTTTGAGGCCTCCGTCATCTCACCTCATGACAAGAATGAATTAAATAAAGTGGACAGATGGATGGCTTATCTTACAAGTATTCCATATTGAATTTTTTTTGGCATATTTCTATTGCATTTGCTGTTTATCACAAATGTTTCCAATGCTAGAATGTATTAAAATATGTGGATTCGCTGAGCCATAACTTAACCAGACTTCCATTTTGGGCTATCTACTGTTCCGCTCGATCGACAGCAATTCTTACATAAACCTGATAATTTCTGTGTATCTACCACAATTTGGAGCCAAGAATCATACATCACATCCTCCAAACACCACAATCTGCTGTAGTATTTTATCAAATGTAAGACAGGTGCCACTGCTGACTACACCAGACATATTATGACAGTGTTTTGATAAGGAGAACAATGTTACAGAAATAGAACTGTGAAAACAACTTCAGATAATATTATATAAGTGTTATTATTGGCCTGTCACTGCTTCACTTCAGGCTGTTATGAGTTTGATAAGCTTTTGAGTTAGTCTCTGCCTTATGTTATCCCCACAACTAATGACAAATGACATAACTCTGGTGGGAAATGGCTGGTTTCCGTGAGACTATCCTCTTTTTGCTCATTCATGCGGAAACAAGGACATTTCAACCACCGAGCTGCTGCAGTGTGGCAAACTGTTGTGTAAGAGTTGGTGTGTGTATGAGGCATGAGGATTCAGGGAGAGAGAGACTGGAGAGAGACAAGAGAGAGACCAGAGAGAGGCCAGAGAGAGGCCAGAGAGAGACCAGGGAGAGGCCATGGAGAGGCCAGAGAGAGGCCAGAGAGAGGCCATGGAGAGGCCAGAGAGAGACCAGAGAGAGACCAGAGAGAGACCAGAGAGAGACCGGAGAGAGACCAGAGAGAGGCCAGAGAGAGACCAGGGAGAGGCCAGAGAGAAACCAGAGAGAGACCGGAGAGAGGCCAGAGAGAGACCAGAGAGAGGCCAGAGAGAGACCAGAGAGAGACTGGAGAGAGACCAGAGAGCGGCCAGGGAGAGGCCAGAGAGAGACCAGAGAGAAACCAGAGAGTGACCAGAGAAAGAAAGACAAGAGAGAGAGAGAGAGAGAGAGAGAGAGAGACTAGAGAGAGAGAGAGAGAGACAAGAGAGAGAACAGAAACAGAGACCATAGAGAGAGACCAGAGAGACACCTGAGATAGCGAAGAGAGACCAGAGAAAGACAAGAGAGAGAGACTAGAGAGAGACCAGAGAGAGAGCGACCCAAGACACACCTGAGATTGAGACAAGAGAGGGACCAGAAACCATAGAGAGACCAAAGAGAAAGACTAGAGAGAGAGACACCCGAGATAAAGAGATCAGAGAGAGACCAGAAAGAGATCAGGGAGAGACACCAGATTCTCTTTGGCTCTCGGTTAGAAGTTTTAAGAGTAAAAAATAGATACAAGCATGCATGGCAAATCTCTGCATTCTCCACTGCACTGCCTTGGGATAATTGCTCGTGAGACTGCATCGGAAAAGGAAAATCAGAGAGGAAGTCGCAAGTTAGTGCACTCTCTCTCCGCCTCCACCTCTCGCCGCCGTCTGCCTCTGTCACTGCGAGCGTTCCCATGGCTCTCTCTCCATTGTCCGGTCCCTGGTTCTATTTCCATCCATGTGTTTGCTATAATCTTGCGGCCTCACCCCAGCTCGCTTCTGTAATTTTGATAGCGATCGCGACTGCTTCTCCTTTTAGCAACACGGAGAAAATTACAGTGATTTATGCTAAATTGAACGCTAGGGAAGAGAGAGTACAAGACTCAACATTCAGCAATGCAACTTTGCTTTTATGCTATGTGTGTTTTGCTTTGGTGACAACGCCTTGACTTTAGGGGAATGCCAGAGAAGCTATGCCTCTTTGGGGGAGATAGAAGTTTTCATTTCACCAAAACTATTCGGACGGCTGCGTGTGTTAACCTTGAGAATCATTATGTGGCCGTGGAATTCCTTCCAGTGGACGTCCAGACAGCAGCAGTATCCTTCAGTGGGTCACTTCAAAGATCTACACAGATATTTGAAGATTATAATCCGACCTGCTGCAAGAGTTCACTCCCTCAGACTTAATCCCATTGAAAGAATCCGCGCTAAGAATAGACCTGGGAGACGTTCATGAGAAGTTTATGAATTTTTGACTATAAGGAGGCAAGAGAGAGAGACTAGAGAGAGGCCAGGGAGAGAGAGAACAGAGAGAGACCAGAGAGAGAAAGAGACAGACAAGAGAGGCACCAGAGAGAGAAACTAGAGAGAGGCCAGGGAGAGAGAGACCAGAGAGAAAGAGAGAACAGAGAGAGAGACCAGGGAGAGACAGAGACCAGAGAAAGAACAGAGAGAGAGAGAGACAAGAGAGGCACCAAAGAGAGAGAGGCCAGAGACAGAGATCTGAGAGACAGAGACCAGAGAAAGAGAGAGAGAGAGAGAGTCAGAGAGAGAGAGATCCGAGAGACAGACAAGAGGGGGGCCAGAGAGTGAGAGAAACCAGGGAAAGAGAGACCAGAGAGAGAGAGACAAGAGCGAGATCCGACAGGAAAAACAAGAGGGAGCTCAGAGATAGAGAGACCAGGGAGAGACCAGAGAGAGACCAAAGAGAGAGAGACCAAATCCTTTACAGAGTCTGAACTAAGAATAGATTCGGGAGACGTTCATGAATCATCGGCTGTAAACAGAATCCATTCTCAAAAGTTTCACAAGAAATGGTGGGAGTCTCAGATGAGGAAATGTGAAGAGAGCAGTGGGGAGAAAACAATAAGAGAATCCTTCAAAAGTTTTTTTACGTCTGTGTTTCAACTTCAAGTTCAGTGAGAAATATCTACAATTATTATGGCACTTTTCCCAACAAACTGCCCTGTGTGTTTTTCATTTATGTTTTTATTATCCTGTGTAATTTGATTGTTTTTAATGCCATATGTGATAGAGGCTGTGGATCCCTGTGTGTTACCTTGTGTAGGACAATTTAGTTTTGTGTGCCCTTCTGCATGTGTGTGTCCTAAATTGTGAAGTATCTTTGAGTTTGATCGACTAATTGATAAAGCTAGTGCTATTATTTACTTTTTCAACACCTGACTGACATGAAAGCAGACATCATTAACACTGTCAGTTCTTTCTGACACACAAGCAGTACCACCTCCAGCCTGCAGGGCCACCATCAAAACAAAAGAGTTCTCAGATACCTGCAGTACCACCTCCAGCCTGCAGGGCCACCATCAAAACAAAAGAGTTCTCAGATACCTGCAGTACCACCTCCAGCCTGCAGGGCCACCATCAAAACAAAAGAGTTCAGATACCTGCAGTACCACCTCCAGCCTGCAGGGCCACCAAACAAACAAAAGATTTCTCAGACACATGCAGTACCACCTCCAGCCTGCAGGGCCACCATCAAAACAAAAGAGTTCTCAGACACATGCAGTACCACCTCCAGCCTGCAGGGCCACCATCAAAACAAAAGAGTTCTCAGACACATGCAGTACCACCTCCAGCCTGCAGGGCCACCATCAAAACAAAAGAGTTCTCAGACACATGCAGTACCACCTCCAGCCTGCAGGGCCACCAAACAAACAAAAGAGTTCTCAGACACATGCAGTACCACCTCCAGCCTGCAGGGCCACTAAACAAACAATAGAGTTCTCAGACACATGCAGTACCACCTCCAGCCTGCAGGGCCACCATCAAAACAAAAGAGTTCTCAGACACATGCAGTACCACCTCCAGCCTGCAGGGCCACCAAACAAACAAAAGAGTTCTCAGACACATGCAGTACCACCTCCAGCCTGCAGGGCCACCATCAAAACAAAAGAGTTCTCAGACACATGCAGTACCACCTCCAGCCTGCAGGGCCACCATCAAAACAAAAGAGTTCTCAGACACATGCAGTACCACCTCCAGCCTGCAGGGCCACCATCAAAACAAAAGAGTTCTCAGACACATGCAGTACCACCTCCAGCCTGCAGGGCCACCAAACAAACAAAAGAGTTCTCAGACACATGCAGTACCACCTCCAGCCTGCAGGGCCACTAAACAAACAATAGAGTTCTCAGACACATGCAGTACCACCTCCAGCCTGCAGGGCCACCATCAAAACAAAAGAGTTCTCAGACACATGCAGTACCACCTCCAGCCTGCAGGGCCACTAAACAAACAAAAGAGTTCTCAGACACATGCAGTACCACCTCCAGCCTGCAGGGCCACCAAACAAACAAAAGAGTTCTCAGACACATGCAGTACCACCTCCAGCCTGCAGGGCCACTAAACAAACAATAGAGTTCTCAGACACATGCAGTACCACCTCAAGCCTGCAGGGCCACTAAACAAACAATAGAGTTCTCAGACACATGCAGTACCACCTCCAGCCTGCAGGGCCACCATCAAAACAAAAGAGTTCTCAGACACATGCAGTACCACCTCCAGCCTGCAGGGCCACCAAACAAACAAAAGAGTTCTCAGACACATGCAGTACCACCTCCAGCCTGCAGGGCCACCATACAAACAATAGAGTTCTCAGACACATGCAGTACCACCTCCAGCCTGCAGGGCCACCAAACAAACGAGTTCTCAGACACATGCAGTACCACCTCCAGCCTGCAGGGCCACCATCAAAACAAAAGAGTTCTCAGACACATGCAGTACCACCTCCAGCCTGCAGGGCCACCATCAAAACAAAAGAGTTCTCAGACACATGCAGTACCACCTCCAGCCTGCAGGGCCACCATCAAAACAAAAGAGTTCTCAGACACATGCAGTACCACCTCCAGCCTGCAGGGCCACCATCAAAACAAAAGAGTTCTCAGACACATGCAGTACCACCTCCGGCCTGCAGGGCCACCAAACAAACAAAAGAGTTCTCAGACACATGCAGTACCACCTCCGGCCTGCAGGGCCACCAAACAAACAAAAGAGTTCTCAGACACATGCACTACCACCTCCAGCCTGCAGGGCCACTAAACAAACAATAGAGTTCTCAGACACATGCAGTACCACCTCCAGCCTGCAGGGCCACCATCAAAACAAAAGAGTTCTCAGACACATGCAGTACCACCTCCAGCCTGCAGGGCCACCATCAAAACAAAAGAGTTCTCAGACACATGCAGTACCACCTCCGGCCTGCAGGGCCACCAAACAAACAAAAGAGTTCTCAGACACATGCACTACCACCTCCAGCCTGCAGGGCCACTAAACAAACAATAGAGTTCTCAGACACATGCAGTACCACCTCCAGCCTGCAGGGCCACCATCAAAACAAAAGAGTTCTCAGACACATGCAGTACCACCTCCAGCCTGCAGGGCCACCATCAAAACAAAAGAGTTCTCAGACACATGCAGTACCACCTCCAGCCTGCAGGGCCACTAAACAAACAAAAGAGTTCTCAGACACATGCAGTACCACCTCCAGCCTGCAGGGCCACCAAACAAACAAAAGAGTTCTCAGACAGATGCAGTACCACCTCCAGCCTGCAGGGCCATCAAACAAACAATAGAGTTCTCAGACACATGCAGTACCACCTCCAGCCTGCAGGGCCACCAAACAAACAATAGAGTTCTCAGACACATGCAGTACCACCTCCAGCCTGCAGGGCCACCAAACAAACAAAAGAGTTCTCAGACACATGCAGTACCACCTCCAGCCTGCAGGGCCACTAAACAAACAATAGAGTTCTCAGACACATGCAGTACCACCTCCAGCCTGCAGGGCCACCATCAAAACAAAAGAGTTCTCAGACACATGCAGTACCACCTCCAGCCTGCAGGGCCACCAAACAAACAAAAGAGTTCTCAGACACATGCAGTACCACCTCCAGCCTGCAGGGCCACTAAACAAACAATAGAGTTCTCAGACACATGCAGTACCACCTCCAGCCTGCAGGGCCACCATACAAACAATAGAGTTCTCAGACACATGCAGTACCACCGATCACCACCGTGCGCCAGGGTCAGTCTCGTCACTAAAGTACTCAGGCCGCAGATTGAGAAGCCTTTACCTCTGGGCCTCGATACGGTCGTCCATTCACAATCTCTGGTGAGGCGTACAGCGGGCTGCCACAGAACGTCTGCAGCAGCTTGTCTTTGTGGTACAGGTTGGAAAGACCGAAATCAGCAATCTGCCAAGACACAGGAAACAGAGGAAGGTTTAGGGTCAAACATGACTCTGTTCACTTCCTGTTGCTTACAAAGGCCATAAAACTCATTCTGATCTGACATGACTACTTTTGTGATAAAGGTTGTATAAAACTGCTGTGAAACTAAAACAAGTGTAAAAACATAGCTGCTTTTGAGAGACATTGGACATTGGATGGTTCAGTGAGTAACTATCATTGAAGTAAAACCAGTTGGTGTTCATCCAGGGTGCGGCAAAAGGAGAAACCGGTCTGATCACTTTGAATCAAATTTCATTCAGAAATTATCAGAATGTCCAAAGGAAAACTAAACTAAACTAGAGACATAATATTAATAATTAATACATAATAATTAGGTTTTACTTTAATGTCTCTGTAATTTGACCGATCCTGAATGCCACTAGGGCCTCTGTCAGGGAGAGAGAAACCAGAGAGAGAGACCAGATAGGGAGACCAGAGAGAGACCAGAGAGAGTCTAGAGAGAGAGACCAGAGAGAGACCAGAGAGAGAGACCAGAGAGAGACCAGAGAGAGACCAGAGAGAGACCAGAGAGAAACCAGAGAGAGACTAGAGAGAGCGACCAGAAAGAGAGACCAGAGAGAAAGACCAAAGAGAGAGACTAGAGAGAGAGACCAGTGAAAGACCAGAGAGAGAGATCAGAGAGAGTGACCAAAAAGAGAGACAATAGAACAAGACCAGAGAGAGAGAGCAGGGGAACCATCAGGAGCTTCTCACTGAGACGAGAGAGCTCAAACACTGTGAAAAAAGAAAGTGAAAGCTCGTCGCCATCTTACCTTGATATTACAGTTTTCATCTAGCAGCACATTTTCCAGTTTCAGGTCTCTGTGCACCACTCCATTCTGAAACAGAGACATATCCCGTCAGTCCATGTTATTGCACATATTGCATCCCAGCCTCTCAGTGACATCTATACAGCAGTGCAATAAACATGTGACAGATTAAGAAAAGCTCATACATGTTTCTTCATTCTGGAAACTTGGAGAATTCACCTCAATCTTTAAAGACGGCTTCACTTTTATCGCTGCACTATTGACAGTTTGCTTGTTGGTTCTGTGACTGTGGTTCAGAGACCAGAGAGAGACCAGAGAGAGAGATAGACCAGGGAGAGACCAGAGAGAGACCACAGAGAGACCACAGAGAGGACAGAGAGGGACCATAGAGAGGCCAGAGAGAGGGACCAGAGGGAGACCAGAGAGAGGGACCAGAGAGAGAGACCAGAGAGAGACCAGGGAAACCAGAGAGACCAGAGAGAGGGATCTCAGAAAGAGACCAAAGGAGACCAGAGAGAGGGACCAGAGAGAGACCAGGGAGACCAGAGAGAGGGATCAGAGAGAGAGACCAGAGAGAGGGATCATAGAGAGAGACCAGAGAGAGGTGCTCCGTTCTGAAAGAGGACTGTGATCTGTCTGTTCTGGAGGTTCTTTATGAATCCAGAATCTTAAATCCAGCTCTTAGAATAATCACTGACTCTTCGGGCCCCTGGAAAAGCCATGTTTCAGCTTCTTCCCTCTGGCAGAAGATCACGTTGTCTGAGACGCAGGACATCTGGCTACGCTAACAGATATTGTATTGAAGCTGATTGGTTTGACAGTGACGATTGTTCTGCTGGTTTTATTCCTGTTCTCGTTTGGTGCACACTGGAGACTCTTGCACATGTATTCCAATGTAGTTTTACTGCAAATGGCTCCCCATGTGTGTGCTGCTGTGAACCTGCTTTAGTCTTTTTTAGGCTCGTGTGTCAGTGATTCACACCACTCCACCCAAACACATGTTGTGATAGTGAGAGATGATTCATTTCACATTACTGTCTGCCTCCCTCCGCTCTCTATCTCCTACTCCTTCTCTCTCTCTCTCGCTCTCTCTCCCTCTCCAGATCTCACCCTAAACCGCAGCAGCACATTCTGACTTAGCCTGACCAGTTCATGATTGAAAACAGCCAGGGACGAGAGAGAGACCAGAGAGAGAGCGAGAGAGCAGAGAGACCTGAGAGAGAGAGCGAGAGAGCGAGAGAGCAGAGACCTGAGAGAGACAGAGAATAGAAAGAGACCTAAGAGAGAGAGAGAGCAGAGAGAGACCGGAGAGAGAACGAGAGAGAGAGAGAGCAGAGAGAGACCTGAGAGAGAGAGAACAGAGAAACCTGAGAGAGAGAGAAGGAGAGAGACAGAGAGTAGAGAGAGACCTGAGAGAGAGAGTAGAGAGAGAAAACAGAGAGACCTGAAAGAGAGAGAGAGAGACAGAGAGTAGAGAGAGACCTGAGAGAGACAGAGCAGAGAGAGAACAGAGAGAGACCTGAGAGAGAGAGAGAGAGAGAGAGCAGAGAGAGAGAGAGACCTGAGAGGAAGCAGAGAGAGGGACCATAGAGAGAGCGAGGGCCAGAAAGAGACCGGTTAGAGCAGGGGTGCTCAATACGTCGATCGCGATCTACCAGTCGATCGCAAAGGTAGTATTGGTAGATCGCATTAAATAAATAAAAAGATACACATTCTAAACAAATATATACAACAAATTCCGGGCAAAGTGGAGATTTTTGAAAACTCCGTTAATGCATTTGTGTGTAGACAGAGATAACCGGAGTTTTGCGTTCTCGCACGCCACAGTACCCCCCTAAATTCCTCTGATCACTGAAGCATGGATCATACTACCTTAAAAACTGTTCGCTGTGAGATGCTCGCAGCAGCGAACACCCTCCACATCAGAGAGCAGCAAAGTGATGGCGGGGACTCACGCTCGAAAACAACCAAACCAGAACCAAACCAGGACTAAACCAGGACTAAACCAGGGCTGAGGACGGGGTCAGTGCTTGTAAACATACGTCTTTACTCTGAGTGTCTTCTATGACTGTAAAAGTGCCGTTACCGGCATCTGCATCAAAGCTCCGCCCACTTCTGTGTTTTTCCCCAACGCAGGACAGGACGTAAGAGACGCACATGTTTGGAATGTTACGAATGTGATTGATAACGCAGATGTGTGGATGCAAATTATTTTATAAACTGAGGAGGGGAAATATTTGGATTTAAATAAACCAGGCATGGCACATGGACATGGCACCACAGTCAAATGACATCTGTGTTTTACTCAGTAATGTTTTACTGACACTTAGGTGACTGCACATGCGCAAACAACCGCGCTCAGTGCAGGAAAGCTAAACCACGACAAACTTGTCAGCGAGTTACCACCAATTTTCCGGACTATGCATCCTTGGCCGATTCAATTCAGTGAAAGTCATAAGAGTAAACTCGGGTAATGACAGAAAATGTAAATAGGTAATTGTGTTGTGTTGTGCTATATTGGCTCATGCGGTTTTGCATGTACATAAACATACATTGTAGATATAAAGAATATTTTTTGAAATAAATATATGATTTGCATTTTTGTAGTAGGTAGATCATTTTGACTTGATCCTTTTATAAGTAGCTCGCATGCTGAAAAAGTGTGAGCACCCCTGGGTTAGAGGGACCGGAGAGGCCAGAGATAGATCAGAAAAAGAAACCAGAGAAAGAGACCGGAGCGACAGACCAGGAAGAGAGGGGCCTGAGAGAAACCAGAAAGAGAGAGACCGGAGAAAGAGACCAGAGAGAGAGACACTAGAGAGAGACCAGCCATGGCGGTTAGGACCATAAAGTCAGTCTAAATCACATTAGCTAAATGCGTGTTCATGTTAACCCATTAGCCGTCCCGTGCGGTGGGGGCCCCCTGCTGCTGTTATGGAGAATTCCTTTGGAAAAACCCAAAGTCTCGTGACGAATGAAGTCATTTAAAAACAACTGCTTTCATACAACTTTCTGTTTCTGCTTCAGTCAGATATGGTCCGAGTGAAGCGCTCTGTGGAGGGTTTCTCTTCAAAATAATCATAGAGCAAAGAGGACACACTCGGAAGATGAGAATAATGTTCAAAATATGTGATATAACCCTTTATTTTTCATAATTGTGGACATTTTTATTATATCATTTTGGGTTTCTAAAGCTGTGAGCCAGAATTGGCAATATAGAAAAAACAAATAAGGCCTGATTGGATCTCAGTTGATGGTTAGTGAGTCTGTATTAGTTTCAAATTGAATTCGTAGTCCTGGGTCTACAGCCTCAGTCCTGGGTCTACAGCCTCAGTCCTGGGTCTGCAGCCTCAGTCCTGGGTCTGCAGCCTCAGTCCTGGGTCTACAGCCTCAGTCACAATTACAATGTAATCGTTAATCGCAACAAATCCTGGGACAATTAATCGTCAAGAAAAATGTGTTATCTCTCCCCTACTCTCCTCTTCTCTCTCCTTCTCTTCCCTTCTCTCCCCGTCTCCCCCTTCTCCCCCCCGCAGGACCATGTGAGGACACCAGGTGTGGACAGACACAGGAGCGTGTTGGGAAAAGCGGGATCGAAGTCTGAGCCTGAATTAAACCGAGTCTGGGTTTTGTCTCAGTCACAAACACAGAGCTCCACAGAACCACAGAGCCAAAAACCACAGAGGCTACAGAGAGAGGGAGGGGGAGATTGAGTGGGGAGGGAGAGAAATGGAGAGGGAGAGAGGGACAGGGAGGGGGAGAGAGGGAGAGAGAGGGAGAGAGAGGGAGGGGAGAGAGGGAGGGAGGGAGAGGGAATGAGAAAGAGAAAGTGAGGGAGACTAAACACTCCGCTCCCTTTGTCCTGCTTTAGTCCCTTCTTTAGTCCTTAGTCCTGGTTTCGTCCTGGTTTAGTCCTGGTTTAGTCCTGTTTAGACCTGCTTCAGTCCTGCTTCAGTCCTGCTTTAGTCCTGGTTTAGTTCTGGTTTAGTCCTGGTTTAGTCCTGGTTTAGTTCTGGTTTAGTTCTGGTTTAGTCCTGGTTTAGTCCTGGTTTAGTCCTGGTTTAGTCCTGGTTCAGTCCTGCTTCAGTCCTGGTTTAGACCTGCTTCAGTCCTGGTTTAGTCCTGGTTTAGTCCTGCTTCAGTCCTGGTTTAGACCTGCTTCAGTCCTGGTTTAGTCCTGGTTTAGTCCTGGTTTAGTCCTGGTTTAGTCCTGGTTTAGTCCTGGTTTAGTCCTGGTTCAGTCCTGCTTCAGTCCTGGTTTAGACCTGCTTCAGTCCTGGTTTAGTCCTGGTTTAGTCCTGGTTTAGTCCTGGTTTAGTCCTGGTTTAGTTCTGGTTTAGTCCTGGTTTAGTCCTGGTTCAGTCCTGCTTCAGTCCTGGTTTAGACCTGCTTCAGTCCTGGTTTAGACCTGCTTCAGTCCTGGTTTAGACCTGGTTCAGTCCGGTCTTTACCTTGTGGCAGTGGTGCACAGCGGAGACGATTTGTCTGAAGAAGTGTCGAGTCTCTCTCTCGCTCAGACGGCGGCGCTCGCTGATGTAATCGTACAGCTCTCCTTTACTCGCATACTCCATCACGATTACTATCTTATCCTTGTTTTCAAACACTGGAAAAGAGAGGAACGCATTGGGTTAACGGAGGAGAAGGAGAGAGAGAGAGAGGGAGAGAGAGAGGGGGAGAGAAAGAGAGAGAAAGAAAGAAAGAGAGAGAGAGGGAAAGATACATTCAATACTACAACAAACACACAGAGACACCACTGAAACTACTGCTACTACTGCTACAAGGCAAGTTTATTTATATAGCACAATTCATACACAAGGCAATTCAAAGTGCTGAACAAAAATAAGAAATCATTAAAATCATAAATAATCACAGAACATCAAAAAGAAAGATAATTAAAGCCGCAAGCGGCGTCGAAAAGCCCTTGCCGCACAACGCAAAGGAGGTGGCGCTGACGCGCTATTTTCCCACTGCCCTGACGGGAGCGACACTGTGCATTTAGAATGCCTATGATCAGTGATTATGTGTCTGTATTGAATAGATAAACCTCTTTCTCCCCATGTAACACTTGTATCAGTCTGTAGGGGCGCTATTGCTGCAATTTCGTCTTTTACACTTTCAGTTCATCCAAACCCGAGAGTTGAACAAGAATTCAAATTTTGTGCAAATAGGACTTTGAATGTACAAATGGTGGACTTTATGTTGTAAAACTACTACTACTACAACTTCTACTACTGCTAATACTACAACTTCTACTACTGCTACTACTGCTACTACTACTGCTACTACTACTACTGCTACTGCTACTACTACTACTGCTACTACTGCTACTACTACTGCTACTACTGCTACTGCTACTGCTACTGCTACTATTACTACTACTGCTACTACTACTGCTACTGCTACTGCTACTACTGCTACTACTACTACTACTACTACTGCTACTGATGAAACTACTACTACTGCTACATTGCTTATCATTGACGCATTCCACATTCTTTCTACTTCTATGTTTTCTCTCTTCTATATTCTCTGTGTGTCTCTGTTGGGGTCACACATGTCTGCTATTACATAAAGACCCCCCCCCCCCCCCTCCCCCCCCCCCCCCCCCCCCCCCCCCACACACACACACACACCCTCCTCACCCCTCACTCAGTCCTCACCCCTTTTAAAGTTTTGCAGCAGAATCCTCAGAGGTGTACATTACTGCAGTCGTGCCGCTCTTACCTCACCTCATACATGTCTGGATTCTCCCCCCCTCCTCCCCTCACCCCTCCCTCCCTCCCTCCCCTCCCTGCTCTGAGGCCGAAGAGGACAGAACCACCCGCATCATAATGTGACCCCACGGGCTGTCGTGCCATGGCTTTAGCACCGAGGAGTGAAATGTGATTCTCAAAGCACTCAAATATTTACCAATGTTGTAATGAATAACAGTTATGGGACACAGACAGTGAATGGATGGGCCCTGTCTGCTTCTCTGACACTGCTATATGGTCTCTCTGGTCTCTCTCTCTGGTCTCTCTCTGGTCTCTCTCTGGTCTCTCTCTGGTCTCTCTCTGGTCTCTCTCTGGTCTCTCTCTGGGCTCTCTCTGGTCTCTCTCTCTGGTCTCTCTCTCTGGTCTCTCTCTGGTCTCTCTCTGGCCTCTCTCTGGCCTCTCTCTGGTCTCTCTCTGGTCTCTCTCTGGTCTCTCTCTGGTCTCTCTCTCTGGTCTCTCTCTGGTCTCTCTCTGGTCTCTCTCTGGCCTCTCTCTGGCCTCTCTCTGGTCTCTCTCTGGCCTCTCTCTGGTCTCTCTCTGGTCTCTCTCTGGTCTCTCTCTGTCTCTCTCTGTCTCTCTCTTGTCTCTCTCTGTCTCTCTCTGGTCTCTCTCTGGTCCTCTGGTCTCTCTCTGGTCCTCTGGTCTCTCTCTGGTCTCTCTCTGGTCTCTGCATGGTCTCTCTCTGGTCATCTCGTCTCTGGATTTTGGTCCTTAAGTCTCTGGTGCTTTAGTCTTTTAATTCTTATTGCTTATTAAAACCACTTTGTTAAGAAAATCCTTCACAGAACAGACTTTAGTCGCCATTTTGGACAATAAAATACATATTTAGCAGTTTGAAAGTCTTACGGAAATTTTAATTTGCAATAAGAATAAAAAGACTTCAGGACCAGAGACCTCGGAACCAGAGACTTAAGGATCAAAATCCAGAGACGAGATGACCAGAGAGAGACCATAGAGAGACCATACAGAGACCATACAGAGACCAGAGAGAGACCATAGAGAGACCAGAGGACCAGAGGGAGACCAGAAAGAGACCAGAGAGAGACCAGAGAGAGACCAGAGAAAGACTGGAGACCAATAGAGATACCAGAAAGAGAGATACCAGAAAGAGACCGGAGGACCAGAGAGAGACCGGATACCATAGACAGACCAGAGAGACACCAGAGAGAGACCATAGACAGACCAGCGACTAAATCTATAGTTGAAAAAATGCAAGATGGTCCCAATGCCATCTTAACCAAGCATTACATTCTAAAGGAAGCCTGTACAGTCTCTACTGGGACTTCTTTAATGCTTTCACCTCCATGCTAGCACACTTAAAATCTTACAGCAGACTTAAAATGCCAGCAGACCTAACAACATTGTAATCCAGGCGTAGCTGTTATGTCAGTGGGTTGAGAGGGGGTCAGCTGCTCTGCTCTCTCCTCCCTTGGCTGAGCACCTCCAGACTGTGTCACTCCTCTCCCCTGAACTCACCCCCGGGATCCTTTTAAACATTTAATCCTCTACAAAAACACACAGCCGCTGAGTGAGGCTAATTCTCCATAATTGTGAGATCTCAGAGACGGGAGACGAGCTCGCTGACGGGAGGCCTTTGTGTCCTGCGTGTGTGGAGGTCTCGCTGGGTTCAGAATGTTGTGAAATGATTTGGTGAAAGAGCGTGGAGTGTTTGGGTGAATTCCGGAATAAAACGACTTCAAGCACTTATGATGATGTCATTACTTAATTAGAGGGATTCGGGGTTGGGTATTAAAGGATTCTGCCTTTGTAATCACTTCATTTAAGAGTTAAGAGTTTAGGAGAGGTTATCAATTGTTACTCTCTGGTCTCTTGGTGCCTGGTCTCTGGTTTCAGCTCCTTTTGATCTCTCTGGTCCTTAGGTCTCTGGTCTGTCTCCGGTCTCTCTTTGGTTTCTCTCTGGTACCTCTCTGGTCCCTCTCTGGTCTCTCTCTGGTTTCTCTAGTCTGTTTCTGGTCTGTCTCTGGTCTGTCTCCGGTCTCTCTCTGGTCTTTCTCTGGTCTCTCTCTGGTTTCTCTCTGTGTTCTCTCTGGCCTCTCTCTGGTCTGTCCCTGGTCTGTCTCTGGTCTGTCTCTCTGGTCTCTCTCTGGTCTCTCTCTGGTCTCTCTCTGTGTTCTCTCTGTGTTCTCTCTCTGGTCTCTCTCTCTGCTCTCTCTCTGGTCTCTCTCTGGTCTCTCTCTGGTCTCTCTCTGGTCTCTCTCTGGTCTCTGGTCCTCCTGTTGGACACATATTTGGTCCTGGTTGGATGTTGCTAACCCTCGTACCTCGCTAACCTCTTACCTCTGACCTCTGACCTGTTGTTACTGACAGAAGAATCTTTGTTCACAGGGAAAGACCCCAAAGAGTCCAAAACAGCAGGTATTGTGTGTCTGCCTCTGATGAGAGACGCAGCAGGCTTCAGCAGGCTTCAGCAGGCTTCAGCAGGCGACGGTGACGAGTCCAGGTGACAGGCTTTGTTATAGGAACGTATGTCATCTTTATTTATATAGCGCCTTTCACAGACTCACTAAGCTCTAAATAAAGTCAGTTCATGAATCCGTTTCCAAGATGGTGATTGTTTACGTGAAGAGAAAAACATGGTATAAAGTACATCCTGTTTTACTTATAATTGAATTTCTACTTCTGGTACTATTGTGTCTGATGCTAGTACCAGTAGACACTTCTACAACGGCTGCTACTGCTATAGCTACTACTACGACTAAGGCTGCAACTACTACTACTAATACTGCTCCCACTACTGTTTCTACTACTACTGCTGTAACAACTACAAAGACTACTACTACTACTATGGAGCTGCTACTAGTAAGTAAGTAAGTAAGTAATCTTTATTTATATACCTCCTTTCACAGACCAGAGTCACAAAGCGGTTTACAATTGTTATTTTTGGGCACTTGTCTCTCACTCCACACAGAGATGGGAGCGGGGCCAGTACAGGAGGCGCATGCTAGAACTATTGTACATATTTTTAGTGGTAGGGGAAACCGGAGCATCCGGAGGAAACCTACGCAGACACGGGGAGAACATGCAAACTCCACTCAGAAAGGCCCTGGTCCGACCGGGATTCAAACCCAGGACCTTCTTGCTGCCGCTCGATGTATGGATCCAGGACTCAGGCTGTAGAACGAGGACCGAGGCCCAGTTCATTAAAAGCCAATTTCTTACTACTTCAGCCCCTGTATTAATGCGAGTCAAACCACACACTGTATTGAGTTGAGTTTGGAGTTTATGTGAGTCTTGCTAATTCGAGTCGAGAACAAAAGCTTTAAAACGACTCTTTTTTTAGCCTGGTGGACTTTACTTTACAACCAAACACAAACAAGGCTGTAACTGCTGGGCACATGTCATCAGGAGAGAATGCAGCAGAACAAATGCAATAAAAAGTGATTTATTTCTCAAACTCTGTGCCCTTTGCTTTTACCCGCAGCTCTGTAAAAATACTTTTAACATTGGAAATAGCCGAATGGTGAGGTTTCTGTGTTTGTCAAGCTGTGGTGGTGGACGGATTGTTTTGGGCTTTGGATCGAGCATGTTACTACTACTACTGTTGCTGCTGCTGCTACTACTGGTGCCGAAAGAGAGATGACTGATGCTGCTTCTGCTGTTGTTACTGATGAGATTCAGTCCCGTGTCGTTAAAGTGGAAAAGGAAGTATCTGAAGGAAGTCGTGTTGCAGTAAAACAAGAGCAGAGCTGATGATTTTGGACTGAAATATAAATATTTAATTCAAACATAAAAGGGATGAAACACTACTACTACTAATACTGCTACTACTGCTGCAACTACTACTACTGCTGTTGCTACAATGACTATGGCCACTGCAACTATAGCACTT